ACAAATACCATTCGTGTGACAATGTTGTTACTCGTACGAACACATCAAGCAGCAGTCCTGTATGTCAGGGAAGTTATCCCCCATTGACATGACCATTTCATAACAATCAATCATTGAGCAATACATGTATGTGCATGTCACCGAAACCAGCAAGTGAACATCTTTTGTGTCTAAACAAGACACTTGTCAATGCCAACATTCAAATTTATTACTGGCTTAGGCATGTCAGCTCAAAAATTTCGTTAACAAAAATCAATGAAAAAAACATACATTTACTAATTAAGAAATGTTTTTAAACTTGTTGGTAATGTTTGTACCATCTTGTGTTTCATACAGTATAACGCGAAATATGCATTTGGTCGAGTCTTTATCGTGAACGCATGTATTAATAAGAGCGTAGCTGTCGAACGCCAGAGCGAAGCTCTTTAATGTCAACAAATACGTGCGTAAACAGAGTTGCTTCCCCTTTCTACAAATTGTCAAAAAGAAATTCGTCCGGAAGTAGACGTCAAGTGGGGAAACAGGAAGTGCATTCTTGAAGCAAAGAAAATGGTTCCCACCCATACATGAACATCTTCATGTAGTGAAAACAATGCCCATGTTTTTTTTTGTTTTTGTTTTTACAATCCTTTTAATAACAGATTTAGGGAATGAAGGGTTTAAATGTTGTTTGTTGATGTTTAGTGGATCGAAGAGATACATGTATAACATTTCATTAAAACACAGTATTCTAAAAGATATGATTAAGGTAAATCAGACTCTTTTCGGTTATCAGCATCTTGTGAGGAAACTCCATGTATAGAAAGTTCAACTCCTGCTATATATTTGTAGTAAAGTTGTCAAAGAATCAGATATTTGGCAGTCCTTTCTTATACATATGACTTAAAAGTGGTGCAAGGATTTATAAAACCCAAAAAACAAACTGATTCCTATCCCTTATACAGAGATTACAGTGTGAACTGAAGGTATTTAAAATAACGTCAGGTAATTCGGGTAAAATGGACTTCCATCATGATTTTAGATATTTCATAATGTGTTTATACAGCCTCCCTTAAGAAAAACATATTCCATACATGTTTTCAGCCTGTTTTTTTTGTCATTATCTGTCCAGCCTGTAACATCTCATCTTTGATGAATAGGAAATGACAGTTCTACATAAATCAGTCCCTCCCTCTATATTTATAGTAAATCCTCCTTATCGGGATGGATCAATGAGGGACCAGTGAGGGACGAGGGACTGACCCACTTAGTGACCAGGTAGTACATACGCTTGCGGTCAGGTTTATTTTTAGCTCAGCCGGTCTTAACCGATTATGGTATGACTAACCTATAAAAACTGTGGAAAGTGTATCATCGAATCATTCTACCATCATGGATTGGAAAGAGCACTTGGAAAATATCTACTTTGATTTAAACAGTCCTATTAGTTATGCTGGTCCTGAGAAAATCTACAAATACATCAGGAAGGAGGGTCAATACAGAGTCGGAATTCATGCCATTCGTCGATTTTTACAGAATACCGATGCTTACAGCCTACAGCGTTCACTCCGTCGTAGGTTTAAAACGAGAACAGTGATTTCTCAAGGTATCGATGCTCTTTGGGGTGTGGATCTTGCAGATGTATCAAACATATCCAGTGAAAACGGGGAATGCGGTACTTATTCGTCGCCATTGACGTGTTCACGCTACATTTATGGGTCGTTCCGTTAAAAAACAAATTTCACGGAACTATTATAGACGGTTTCAAGAAGATTTTTAGTTCCGGTAGAAATCCGACGGAAGTACGTTCGGACCCGGGAAGTGAATGGAAGAATAGATGGGTGAAGGCCTTTCTCGATCGGGAAAAAGTGAATCATTACGTCACGCATAACGTCACTCACGCGAATTATTCCGAACGAGTAATACGGACTTTAAAAGTTCTGATGTATCGCTATTTTACACACAAACGAACGTATCACTACCTTGACGTCTTGCAGGACATTGTCCGAAATTACAATGCAAGACCTCACAGCTCCTTGAATGGAAAGTCACCAAATGATATAAATAAAACCAACGAAGCCCTCGTATGGAAACGTCAGTGCGTAGACAGGTTCAAGGTCGGAGACGTGGTCAGAATATCCAGTAACAGGCGTACTTTTCAACGAGATTACGAACAAAAGTGGACAGATGAAGTGTTTACAATCAAGACGAGGTACCTTCGCCAAGGAATACCCGTGTATAAAATAGTTGATTTCGACGGGGATCCGATAAAAGGAACCTTTTTACATGAGCGAATTACAAAGAGTTGACAAAGAAAGAGACGACCTGTTCAAAGTGGAAAAGGGGCTAAAACATCGCAAGAGAAATGGCATATCGCAAGTGTATGTCAAGTGGCTCGGTTATCCTAAAAAGTTCAATAGCTGGATAAAAGAAAGTGAAATGGAAGACGTGTAATCGGAGGGGTATAAAAAGACCAACGTATTTCATTAACCGTCATTTGTGTCTCATACGTTGAAGGATTAACATCAAAATGAAACACATGTGTAATCTCTGTACTAAAGAATATTCCAGAGCTCAAGATTTGCTTCGGCATAAGAGAGATAAACATTTAAGCCGAGATGAAAGTATAATGTTCTCCGATCAGCAGGTGCCGCAAGAAGTGCCGCAAAATTTCGTCTTTAAGCATCCATTCACGGCAAATATTTCCGGACCGACGACCTGTGGGAAAACTTATTTTGTCAAGATGCTTCTACAACATTGTACTGGTAGGATATCTCCTCCACCCCAGATAACCATATGGCTTTACAAGGCAGCCGCTGTATGACATAATTAAGTCTACCGTCGTTCCTAAGATATAATTTATTCAGGGAATCCCCATTGACCTGGAGAATGATTCGTTTCTAGACGTTAATACAAGAAACTTAATCGTGATAGATGACCTCATGTCCACGGCCTCGAAAGATTCTCGCATCAACGAGCTATTCACGGAAGGAAGTCATCATAGAAACCTTTCTGTCATTGCAATCAACCAAAATTTATACTACAACAAAGACCCTACACAGAGAAGAAATTGTCATTATCTTGTTCTGTTTAACAACCCCGCCGATAAACTTCAAATTATGACTTTGGCCAAACAAATGTATCCTGGACAAAGTCAGCATTTCATTCGTAAATTTGATGACGCAATCTCCGAACCTTATGGGTATCTATTGATAGATTGGAAGCCCACTACTCTTGCACAACTTCGTTTACGCGGTAGTGTTATGCGTCAGTATAAAAAGGATCCGAGGCAAATAATTGATCATTCTGACAAAGACAGTCGTGGAGAACAGACGTATCCAGAGGGTAAGAGGCAAGAAATCGATCATTTAGACAACGACAGTCGTAGAGAACAAGAATATCCAGAGCACACCAAATCACTTGTCCCTCACGCCATGGAAGGTAAAATTCATTCGTGTGATGATTGTGGATTGATGTTTGAAAATACCCACGACTTGCAAAAGCACGTCAAAAACTGGTGCCATGAGCAGTTTTCCTTAAAACGAAAAAGCGAGGAAGACGATGTTCCCCGTAAAAAGATTCGTTATGAGCGAATGCTATCGGACGAGTCACCCATGGAAGATGGTGATAATGATGTGTGGTATTGTTATCTGTCGCTCTTTTAAGGCTTTGCCTTTTCATATTAGCCTTGGCCTTATTTTCGTCTGTTTACAATAATCTATTCTTAGACACGGGATTCCGATAGAGCTACGTATATACATGTACCTGTATACAAAAAAACCTGAGGACGCGTCATAACAGTACACGGCTGAACGCACGCACTAACTTTGGGGAAATAGGCATAGCAACCCGCCATAGCTCTTTCTATAAATACGGACAACGTAGCACAGACCACAAAAGAAAAGAAAAGTGTCTTTTATCTAGATATTTTAGCTGTAAGCTGCAAATTGCATGTTGGCTGGTTAACATGTAGTGTAAAATAAACATAATAGCGAACATAAGTTATGCGTTCTTCATTTCAGCGCATTTGACACTAAAATATGTCTTTAAAAATCTGTCTCGGATAACAATTTGAATGCTTCATCAAATCTTAAAAGTCATTTTCCGTCGGGGGGCTTCGCTCCCCTGAGCCCTCACCAGGGCCCTGCCCTGGACTCGCTTACACATATCAATGGGCCTAGCTAAGCTCTTGCCTGAAGACACATTTGAACTCTTCAAATTCAATTGGATGGAATAGTTCATTATGAAATTTCAGGGGTGAATGAGTTAAGGGATAGGAATAATCCTTTTCTGTGATCTGGTTGATTTTCTGGCAGTATTATGTATTATCTTACTCCTACGTCTTTCTCCCTAACTAGACACATAAGTGAGCAGCATACATATTTAAGGGGTTTAGTTCTACTTTCGGTAAGATTGACACCTCAATATTTATATACTATTTAATCATGGGGTGGGGGTCATTTTCAGAGTGTTACACCGGTTTGGATCGACTTACATTAGGCCCAATCTTATGTCTTATCTATTCCGAACTTTTCAGAGGATCGTTTCTCATGTTCATGTTGCTGTCACAGGGACCGTACAGCTATATTTGGACCTAAACTAAGACAAATAAATGACACACCCAATGATTATAGATACGAAACATTGGGGTGTCCTTTTTACCGAAAGTTGATCTAAATCCCTAAAACATGTAAAATTACTCTGAACACCTTAGTTTAGGTCCAAATGTATAGCTGTAACAAATGCGCAGGTCCCTGTGGTATAAATGTACGTGGTATGAAATACACCCCGTTTAAAAAAAAAACTGTTTAACAGGCAGGTTAGAAAATTAGGAGTCCAGTATGAATTGTAAGACAATATCTTGAGAAAATATGTCACCGAAAATGTTCCTTTGTCAAGACTTTAGACTTTATTGAATCTGCGACAAAGACATGTTAAATTAGATGACGTAAGGATCGAATGCATCTAATGAATATACATGATTTAGGGACGTCACATCCGACCTCATATACTTCCTTTTTCCGACGAATTCAGTGTGGTGAAGACGCATTGAGCGGACGAGCATAGAAACCTGAAGATTGTCAAAACAAAGGTGTAAAATCATCAACAGGTAAGTAGATATGATAAAATATGTAAACTGATTCGTAGTTTGTATATATTTAATCAAGACAACGACATATTACTATCAAATCCACTATAAATGCTATCTGTGTTGTCTGTTGCTTTGTCACGCATGTTTAATCATGACGTCATTGGTATCACCCAAAGCTTCCCTGACCGCTAACAATGCAGTCGTGGTGTTTTGTCCGGGTATCACATTCTGCCGTCAAATTTTAAAACCGTTATTAAACGGTATACATAACATAAATGAGATAATACGTAGGATGGAAGCCATTTTAAGAAAAAAGCAGTTTCACTATAACTTTTTAGAACTGAAAGCGAAAATGAAAAATCTTGGATTACCATGGCAAGCCATCGTGAGATTAGGTCCTAAATAACATTAGAAATATGTTTAAAATTCTTAATTAATGTTCTTATATTCATATATTAAACATATTTTTCTAATAAAATAGATTTTTAAAAATATATCATTAACTCATTTTCTAACACTAATAAAGGTGTGTAATGGCATAACATGTCAAAATTTTCCGTTGCACAATAGTGAGATCAGTTAAAATTTTAGTGAGTTGTGGTAAAAAAAGTGAGATATTTTTCTCTAAATAAGTGAGACATTTAAAACAAATATGATACTGCATTTAGCATGGTATTATCTCATTTATATTTTTTTCTGTAGGAGGGAAGAAAACAACAATACGTGATGAATAGGAAATGGGGGTTCTACGCCACTTTATCCCTCCCTCTATATTTATAGTAAATCCCTACCTGACAGGGTGGATCAATGATGGAACAGTGAGGGATGAGGGACCATGTTATTTTTAGGGCGGTTTCGGGTTTTCCAGTACATATAGGGTCCCTCCAATAGGTATATATAGGGATCCCTCACTGACGTGAGGTATCATAGTGAGGGACCAGGTTATTTTAGTCTGGTGTAGGTTTTTTTTCCATGTATATACATCTACATTGAAGATGACATGTCCAAACTTGCATCATTCCTTTAGACAGACCCCCCCCCCCCCCCCCCACACACACACACATACATTCCTTTAGATAAAAATAGATAATAACATGTTCAAACTTGCGATAGTCTCGGTTAGATAAAAAGGGAGGTAGCACCTTACGATGCCATATCCTTCCCTATGACATCACCGGTGACCTGTTTCGGCGTTATTTTAAGAACAGACGGTTTTGTCCATATTATGATATCGTAGTCAGCTGAGGGACCAAGGTGTTGAAGTTGTACACACAGCAGACAGCTTTTGAGAAAAATAGTGAAAACCAGTCGAGCGTCTCTTTATCTGTAGAGCGCCATCATCTCGCTGTCAGTCAATGTGTATACATCTATATCAGCTGTATATACACAAGTAACAGTGTCACTATCGAATGGAGATGGATTGACGTCATATGTACATAATGTAGACTGTAGCTGGATTAGACAAATGGGTCGTAATCAACGGTTTGTCTCCAAATTTAGACACGGAGCTCAACTTACGCCGCCTTTTTCTCCGCACCCAACAACTGTCAGATAACAAAAATACGAAAAAATCCAATGAAATTTGTATTTCCTATTGGTTTTGTTAGATATGGTTGTACACAGAAATTTTCGCCAATAAACTTGTACAGTGAACACTTAGAAGATGAATCTATTTGTTCTTTACATTCTTGTTTAAATATATCACACATTCTGTTTTAATCATATTCATAATGTAATCGGATGTATAGGTATCTCCATATTGCCATATGTACCCTACTCCCATTCTAAATAGCTCGTTTCTTACTTCATTCATCCATTCACTACCGTTTCCTAACATTTTTTGTTAACATGCATGTAAACACACAATTATCAGGTTATTTTAATTTTAACCAGTATTTGAAAAATCTAAATATCCTAATTATTTCCAAAGGTAATCTTCCTAATTCTTAATAAACCATAAACTTTGCCGTAGATTTCTTAACCCCTAATAATCTTTATACAAAAACTTAAATGTAAAAGCCCCAAACTTCCGCTGCATAATTAAAAATACTACAGACATATATTTCGAAAGCATGAAGCTGAGTTTCAACGTTAAAATAATTTTTCTTAGACACGTTTGATACTGAAAACAATGTTTTTCTTCCTTGTTCAGCGATTTTTTTTATTTATTTTAATTTACCATTATAATTCATTAATATCCCCAGGTTATTAAATTCATCTACAATATCAAATACACATCCATCAAAGTACCACTTATCTTCTTCTCTTCATTTACCTCCGCTGCGGAAAATCATCACCTTGGTTTTAGAAGTATTAACCGTAAAATTCCATGTATTTGTATAAAGTAATAATTTATCTTACATTTTCTGAAATCCCTCAGAAGTTTCCACCAATAACACCTTATCGTCTGCATACATCATTGAAAATATATAGCTCTATAGAAGGACACCCTTCTGTTAAGAAATTCATTTCTCAATCATTGACATACAAAAAAAACAATAGAGGAGGCATAATTTCTCCTTGAAATAATCCATTTTTACACTGAAAAACGTCTGACATGTTTTTGTTATACTTGACACAACATTTCAATCTCTGTACAAAGAACGTATACTACTCAACATCTTCCCTTCTATACCTTCTTTGTTACATTTCCGTTTCGGTAAACCATGTATTTGGTTTTCAATTCTGTAATGATCAATCAGCTTTTATGTTGCTGTGAAATGTTTATACCAACTGTCATCACAGATTAATTAGCAGCTACCCCCACTCTTGACTAAGGATCATTGATTAAACACAGTTAGAGTGAATTCATTCATCGCCAGTCAGAGTTGCACGGTAACAACAAGTCTAACCCAGGGCACAAGGTGCTAATATTAATACCCGGCTTCCTCTGCCTTGGCCGGGTATTAAATCGATCCCATTCCTTGTAATGGAGCAAGCCCGGTGTGAACAACCGAAATCGAAATCTGAATTGACCGCCATGTTGGAAAGTTCGTCTCTCTGCCGATATAGGTCCGGCGTCTTTATTATGCCATTTAGCCGATACGGAGCCGTATCAGCTCCAGGTTGAAATCCTCCCTGCCATATCAGCTCAACAGGCGAATCAACACTTCGCTAAAAGATGATGTAAGCGGCCCCACGAAAAAAAATTCGGTTAAAAATCGTAGCCTTGTTCTGGTCACGATGTAAGCATAATTGTCGCCGTATTTCCTGATTCTTTGGTATCATTTTATAGAACATTGTCCCGAACCGCCCAGTAGATTTGGACTAAATTTAGTCTGGAGCATCCTTAGGTCAAGGGGACTTAATTTTGTAATATGAAAAGGCAAAGCCTTAAAAGAGCGTAGCTTTTGTTGGTCTGTTATATCTACTGATTCAGAATACAGCTTTCAGAATGAGCGGATCGGTCGAGTGGTTAACACTCCGGCCTTCCAATCCCCGAAGTCGCCGTACGCATGGAATATTAGAGAAAGTGTTATTCTCCTGCCCACACAACTCCAACAACCCAGGTGGAGTATACAATGGTCTGGGGTGGGTGTTGCGGTATCTGTGCTGTAGCATTCAAGCGGAATTCTCTTCATCCATGTCAGTATTGACCTCAATCCGAAACCTAGTGTTCTCATCCTCCAACACTTTCTGGTAATAGGATCTCCAGTGTTCGGGATTGGAAACATAAGCGGAACCAACCATTCTGACGCGACCTGTCTCTCCACCATCTATTGTACACGCTGTTCATTTCACTGATTGATTGATTGATTGATTGATTGATAGATTGATAGATGTCACTTCCAGTTCACTACCAATTAGTTCAGTTATTTCTCATATGATAGGATGAGGGGTCGGAGTCAAGATGCTTGAGGAGGAGCAGGAGAAGCAGCAACAGATGCAGCAAATAGCTCCTCCTGGCAGTGGTGGCGGCGGCGGCGGCGGCGGATACGCATGAGTGATTTGCGGATACACATCAAAACAATTCGCGGAGGCAATCAACCATATCCGCAAATCACTCATGCGTATCCGCCGCCGTCGACGCCACCACCACCACCATAGATGGTGGAGAGACAAGTCGCGTCAGAATGGTTGGTTCCGCTTATGTTTCCAATCCCGAACACATTATTTTATTATAACGAGTGTCATGTTTAGGTGTTTCCCCACTTCACCATTTTTAAAGGTCCTTGTGTTGACGTCTATCCCTCTCCACACGATAGTGACACTGTTACTTGTGTATATACAGCTGATAGTATTCGCCTCGGTTAACAATGCTTCCTTGGGGTGAAAATATGCAATATCGCCCTCTCATGAATGTGATTTTTATTTTATTATACCGAGTGTCATGTTTAGGTGTTTCAACACGTTCACCATTTTTAAAGGTCCTTGTGTTGATTTGACATAAACCAAGACTTCATCTCAACAGTTGTCGAATGAACCAACCATGAATGTGATTTGATAATACCCTGGCACTGGGACGAACCGTGCACGCATACGTTTGGTGCATGTGATGTTTTTTGGAATGTCACCCTGTCTTCTTTATCTTTGTAAAACGAGCAAGTGACATTGAAAATGTTCACATCTTTATCAACCAATCAGATTATGAGGTTTTAACAGAAGGTATAATAAAGATGCATATACCTTGACTGACAGCGATATGAGGGCGCTCTACAGGTAAAGAGACGCTCGACTGGTTTTCACTATTTTTCTCAAAAGCTGTCTGCTGTGTGTACAACTTCAACACTTTGGTCCCTCAGCTGACTACGATATCATAATATGGACAAAACCGTCTGTTCTTAAAATAACCGTGATGTTAACGCCGAAAAAGGTCACCGGTGATGTCTTAGGGAAGGATATATATGGCATCGTAAGGTGCTACCTCCCCTTTTATTTAACAAGACTATCGCAAGTTTGAACATGTTTTTATATATTTTTATCTAAAGGAATGTGTGGAGGGGATCTATCTAAAGGAATAATGCAAGTTTGGACATGTCATCTTCAATGATGATGTGTATACATGGAAAAAAAACTAT